AGAATGGTTTGGGTTGGAAGGGACCTTAAAGACCATCCAGTTCCAACCCCCTTATGGGTAGGGACTCATATATATAAATATATATATATATATGCTCAAACACTGCAGTACTACTGCAGCTTTAGGCAAATGTCTCCTCATTAAAAAGGTGCAAGAATCCTGTTTGTATAGCTGAACCAAAACCTGGACTAGATGCTGTCTAGGAACAGAACAGCTCTGAGGCTGGCTGTTCTCCTGCCAAAGGGGAGGCTCTCTGCATGGGCAGGAGCAGCAGCCAAGTTGGCACCAAAAAATCCCTAATGCAAGACAGGACCTTACTCTTCTTGTCCACCAAAAGGCCTAAATGTGAGAGGCAAACACAGCACAGGAATATGTAAGAATAATGTTGGGTTCGCTCTATTCCTCCTACACACAATACTAGGGAGGCTCTTCCTAAGTCCTGCATGGAGCTGGGATCCATACTTCCAGGAGGGTATGAGCAAACTTTCAGTTGCAATGTGATAATCTCTGTTATTAAAAGGACACCAACAAAGCCTCCCTTTATTTCCAAGAGAGAAAAAAATTCATGGTCCCCATGAGGGTGAAAAAAGAAATAATTTAGATTTCTATCTGGTGGCAGAAGCCAGCAAAGTTCACACTAGAAATAAGAGAAAACTCAGCCAGTGGGTAATGACTCCGTAATGAAGATTATGGAGGATGGGAAGGTTTCTCTGTTGCTAAAAGGATTTAAATCAGAAACACGTGGCTTTGTAAAACCACTAATTCACCAAGCCACTGAATACCAATGTAAGGCATAACAATGCTGTGCTTGCCAAAAATATTCATAATTGCTATAGTCTAAGCTGCAACAATAAAGTTAAAAGTTTGCTTTCCAGATCAGATTTGAAGTTTGCATAAAGAGCTGGAATAAAACAAACACGTGACCTACTGCTAAATATTAAAGTTACTTGTGTGTGTAAATTGTTAAAATATTTCAGATATTTTAAATGTCTCCTTAAATGTTTATTGCTCTTTTTTACATATAGTCAGAGGATAGATATCTTTCATACAATGATAAAATAATGCTGTCTGCAATAAAATGGCTATTTTTCACCTATCACTACTTGAAGAAAAGTTTGTACTAGTAAATTGTATAAGCTCTTGAGGTTAAAAAAATACAGGCAATTATATTACTTTGCATGTTTTACTATAAGTACCAACTGAAGAGTTCTGCAGCAAAATGATGAAATTTCTTCTATTACCATCTCTGTTTTTGTTCTTCAAATTAAACCTTGAATTTTGTCTTTTGATTTCTTAAATGAATAATTCACCGGTTTTGTCTAGTTTACATTTTAACTGGAATGTAAATAAGCAGCCATGCTATTCCACAGACAATAACATTTACATTTATCTGGAAAAATAAGAGATTTTATGGCACAATAATGCAAATTTCAATGCCTCATTTAGAGAACAAAAGTGTTATTTTGGTAAAATATTGCAGCATTAACTGTGCTTTCTGAGTATTGATATTATAACATTATTGTTTGTATGAGATATGCTCATGAAATAAAAACACATATCAAATCATGCAACACCTGCAAAACAGCTGCACACTCATGAGTACAACAACAGCAAATAGTTAATAACTCATTGGGTTTTAATTTAGAAAGACAGTCTACATCCTACCACACTAAAAACCCCCCAAAAACTATTCTTGAGTCAAGAGGTCTTCCAGTTTAATGGATTTCTTTATTCAAAGAGAGTTAGCTTGTGTATGTCAGCAAAGCAAATCTCCAAAGAAAACACATCCCCAACTCAGAGAATTCCTGAAGTCATGTTTCAAGGCAGAACTCTCTGAACATTTACAAACCTGAACAGGTGCAGTGTAGAAATCCAGTCACTGATGAACTACCAATGACTTACAAAGACTTTGGAATTAATGATAGTTGTAGGTTTTTAAATCCCTTTCTAATGGAAACTTATTAGGTTGGATAGCACTTGCTCTAATATGTTGCTTTACTTTTATTTGTCTTTTAAATTTGGCAGATATCAAGATTCAAGAAAACATAACTAAAATAGTGAAAAATAACAAATAGGGTTATAACAGCCAAATCACAACCATCCTCTTTTTCTGATTGTTTATCAAAGCTAAGAAAAAAGTGACATGGATTGGCATCCATTGAATTGCTCATGAAAATCCATATCTAATGACAGTTGTCTCTACCTCAGTCTTTCAGCTCTAAAAGTAGTCATGCACTTTTCCAGTCCATTTGATTTGTGCTCATCCAGGAAAGCGACTACACACTTCACAATTTTTATCACAAAATCATGACTGGGTTTCAAGGAAAGAGAAAAACCATATACAGTCAAAAATTTTCATGAAGACTCTGTGAACACTGTTTCCAAAGGCAAGTGCAACATTAATGTCTGAAGTCTCATGCTAAAATTAATTGTACAGGTTGGACAGATCAGTATTAAAGTCTTTAATATAGAAAACCTGTAAACTTGATAAAAATTCAGTCATAGGATATCCTTCCAGCCTTGTTCCAGCTAATACCCACTCCATTTACCTTTTCTTCCTTTTCTGTATAGATCTTTTATTTGTTCTGCTCCACGTGCATCAACTCCAACACTGAACTATCACTATGCTTCGTAGCTGATTTTGAAGTTTTACTCCCTTCAGAAGATTCCAGACCAGAACTACACATGAAGAAATGATGCCTTGTCTTCTCCTACCCTCCTGATCTCTCCTGCTTCCAAAGAAAGGATTTATCTTCCTGTCAAACCTGCCATTCCAGAGTGAGGCTCCTCTTATCTCCATGACCCCAAGCCACTGAACCTCCTCAAGCAGGAGTGAAACATCTGCTCTCCCTCACACTTTGCCCCCTGCCAAAGTGGACTCTCCCTTCTCTGAAGCCTGTTACTTGCTGCAAGCGTTATATATGGGACTAATTAGGATCCTAGTTGCTCATTAACTCTTTTATTATCCATGTGACATTTATGATGAATGCATTATATTACTTACAAATGGCTGAGTTGGCACTTACACACGGCAGCATAAACTTTAGAGTCAGGGGAGAAATCATTTAGCACTAAGATAGACTAACTGCACCATGTAAATTGAAATCTTCTGGGTTCAACATAAGAAATAAAGGAGTTTGGCATTCCTAGAAGTGCAGGTGGACCAGTCACTTATACTTCAGCATCAATATCTTTTGCATCACTGTAAATACCTTCAAAGATGGCTTTCTCTCACAGTCAGTACCGTGCAAGGCACGTTGTCGTAAAATAGAAAAAAATCCTGCCTTTCTCCAACACAAAAGTCTTCTGCAACAGCAAAGTTGTAATTTCTCAGGATTAGCATTTCCTCATAATAAGTTGCAAAATTCAGACAGGAATAACCCCGATGAACATAAATTACACAGAAATGGATTTGATTTGCATGTAATAATGGCTTCTTTTGGAATTAATTACAGATATGCTGGAGTATGGATTAACGTCCTGATTCAGCAATGGATATGCATGTTTAACTGCTCTTCTATGCTAAGGCTAGGAGTAAATTGTCTAGACAATTAATTATCATTCTTCCCTCATTTGCCAAAAAAGCAGTAAAGCTTTGTGCAGAACGAGTTCTTGCATCCCTTCAGAGATCTTAAAAAAATCCATAGGCAGAGTTGTCATTCTGTAATGCTCTCCATTAAATTGCACATTATTCACCATCAAATCTATCTGTGAAATCTGCCAATAGAGACTAGGCATACTTCCTAAAAGCCTAACAAGAAATCAACTTCTAAAAATAAAGCCCTGTTTAAAAAGCCCCACCTAACATCAATAATGATAGTATTGAAAGGATCCCTGCCTAGAGAACACAACAGTACAATTTTTAAGCTGGTCTTTAATGGTTTACTAAATGCTTATTCTTAAGTAAACAAACAGTAAGGGAAATGTACTTTGAAGGCAGAGATAAAAAAGCACATCTATTTACTTTAGGAGCCTGCAAAGCCCGTTCTTTCATTGCTCCACTGTGAAGAAGTGGTGCAACTATTTAAATTCAATCACCATGGGATTTCAAGGCACACAACAACAAAAAAAATCTGCATATTATACTCTCTCCCCAATGGAAAGAGCGGCTCTGCAGAAATAAATGTAGCACCAGCAAATACTTTCCCAATATAGATATGTGATGGAAGGAGGAAGCATAAAATAAAACTAAATCAATAGATCTTACAGACAAGACTTGATCAATCCATCCCAAAAGATCTATTTTCAGTACCCAGTTGAACAGAATCATAGCATCCCTTGGCTGGTCATGAAAAGGTTGCAGAGGGGAAGAGGAAGAAAATCCCAAATCATTATTTTGATGCAAACTGCCCAGTAGCACACAAAAGGAGAACCAACTATTTAACCAAAACCTAAAATACTGACCAAAAATCCTCCAAAATATCAAACGTGGAGGTACTGTTGGTACGAATGGAGTATTTAAATATACTCCTTTTTATAAGGCAATTTATACTGCAATAACATCCATTGTTTCTTTTCTGTATTTACAGTGCACTGTTAGAACAATTCAATTTCAAGCCAAAGTAATTTGCTTTATTCTCCATGGTTACTAAACAGCACTAGACCTCAGATATTTCCGATTGCAGAAAAAGTCATTGATTTTGGTTACTCTCTAAAAATACTTAGAAGAAAACAGAACTGATAGCCTACAGTAAATATTGAAATGAATCTAAATATCTTAATTAAAAGAATAAACCCTCCCAAATATCTCTGAGTTTATTCCCAAAGAAAAAAAAGAACAAGCAGAAAATTCCCAGCCAAGCTGACCATTGCTCTCTGTAACTGCTTTCCTAAATGCTGCATGAGGTTTTTAAATAGATCAAGTGAAGCACATTACTAGTGTTAGTCCATAGAACTTCCTGCTCAGAAGCATCACACACTTTTTACAAAGTCAATTCTGCAGTGGGAACATCCCTATTTCCCCAACAGAACACTGAGAATCAAATTTCAGGATCTCCTACCTCGATCAAAAAGTCTCCAGTTCTCAGGCCAGCTTGCCATGCTACTCCCCCTTCATCCACAGATTCCAAGTACTGCAAAGCAGGAAAGGCTGGAGTTGGGGTGAATTCTTCAATTGGTGTGTCAGCTTTAAAAATAAATACCACATTAAAAAAAGAAAGTTATGGAGTGCTTGCAAATACCACTTGACTACAGGCCTATTATTGGCCATTCAAATTTAGGGTTAAAAAATGGTGGGTGCTAAAAGTAAGAGGATCCCAGAGGAGATCAGGATGTGGGGACAGAGTGAAATCTCTCTGCAATAGCAATCCACAGGTCTTCAATTCAGAGGGGAAAACACATGCTTCTTTACTGACTCAAACCAGATCAAGGTGTATGAGGCAATAGTTGGATCCTGCGTATTCCAGGATATTCAGTATTAGTTCAAGTAACCCTTTTGTGCGCCTGGCAAAATGCTTGGAACTCTGGCAACATCCAACTAGAAATGAATTATGTACTGTAGCCAGAGGAGAGCTCCTGGCCAAACTAGGGGAGGTGATGGGTGGGGTGGGAAAGGATGTCAAAGATTAAACAGAATTATTCCTTCTCCACATAGATGTGTGTAACAAAGAAGAGACCAAAATAAATCACTTTTTAGGAAAAGAGGCACAGCTGGCCCTGTAACAACTCTCCCTCTCCCTGTGTCACGTACACAGACAAGCAGGAAAGTCCTTGGGTCTTTCACCTAAGGTGCCTTCCCTGCTCCAGAGAAAATCTGGAGAGAATTGCTGGGCTTACCCAGAGGGAGTAACCTCTGCTCAAAGCACAGATAACTCCCGCCAGTGCTCAGGGAAAAGGTCATGCTGTTGCCTTTCCTATTTACAACTCTAAAAAATTTATTTAGCTAAGCCTAGAAAAGCTTTTACAACCCTGAAAATCTATGGTGGCCCTGCTTTAGGGGTGGGGAACAGGGAGAGCAGAAACCATGTCCCAAGAATGAAGACATGGAACAATTTTCATGCTCAAGCAAGGCAAGGGAGAACCCATGTAAAATGAGGGGGAGCAAGAGATGGGACATACCATCATACATATCTCTTTTAAATACAAAAGGAGCAAACTGCACTGAAAGTTAAAAAGCAGAGCATTAAATAGAATGCCTTTTTTAACTCTTAAGAATGCCATTATTATAGATTTTAGGCTACAGGAAAGTACCATGCAGTTTAACATATGAACAGCTTTAAAAATGAGCACACTACAGGCCATGCAACATACGTGCAGCTTCTGAAGATATAAAAAAAGATCATATTTTCATACTAAAACTGCACCAATGTCACCTTGCAGAAGATCCACACCTAATTTAAAGAAAACATCACTCTCTTGTCTATTCCTACTCACAGACCTATTTAAATACACTGACATATGAAATAAAGAAGCAGGTTTTATAAGGAAAGCAGGTTTCCCATAGTTAGGTAAACTGCATGACAAAACAGGTTAATGACAAAATATCACATACAGCAGCACAATAAAAATACAAAACTTTCTCTCCCCCCAAACGATTATACAGTGTTTCTCCTATGTAAAAATGCAAACTGCTTCAAACAGAAGCCACTAAAATCCATCTGAGTAGTACAGCATACAGAGAATCCTGTTGTCTAGCAACCAAGTGCACCAAGAATAATTCCTGCTTATATTCCAAGATGTATAAATTTCTTCATGCCACTGCACATCACACACACACACACACACACACACACAGAATCACATACCTTTTGCCCCTCTGAGCACAAATCCAAATCCTTCATTGTCTTTTTTCTGCAGGACCACTGCCTTTTCTTCTATTATGCAGTCACTGTAGAGAGAATTCCGAGGATAGCGACCATTATTACATCCCTTCATCACCACTGTAGTAGCTGCTCCTCCAGTGTGCAGGTTCATCATCATCACAGCCCGTTAATCAAATAATATTGCAGTAACCGAGCATGGGAAAATACAGAACAAATAGCAGCGAGGGCAAGACAAAGACCGAGCTTGATGATAAAAGAGAACATGACAAAGCAACTTAAAAGGAATAAAAAAGGCAGAGAGGAAAAAGAAAGAAGAAGAAATCATGCATGGTGGTTTGTGTTCTATATGAATGACTGGATGAACATGTGATCATGTAATCTGTGGGCTAGCTAGGACTCTAAAAGGAAAAAAAGTAAGTGAACTGAACGACAGTATCATTAATAAACTCCTCAATCGTGGATGTACCAGATGCATCTTCTAGTGAAGCCAAAATGAAACCAACCAGAAGAAAAATGAGGCAGCATTTTAAATTTAAAGATAATAAATTATGATTTTATATTAGCTAACTAAAAGGCACAAATATATTCTGAAAGCTATGCCTTGCATCAAAAGCCCTTTTTCAATCCTATTGAATGTTGCATGCTGCAAGAATCCCACATGATCATCTGACAGCCTACAATGCTAACAACGTGCAGCTGCCTTGGCGTCATCAAGCACAAATTTCCACAGCATCAAGAATCTGCATAATTTGAAATAGTAACAAGGCATGCACAAGCAGGAAAAACACATTTCTAAGGAATATTTCCTCTCCTCTGATAAACAATTAATATCATAAAACAAGGAGACGGTGTAAAGGACTATTTATGTAAGCAGTGTTCCCTTAAAGAGAAAGTAGCCTTAGGAATCTTGCTGTCATTGGCTGAGATAAAAGTAGATGGTAGATGAAGAAAATGCATAAAATGCACATTAAAATGGGACCTTTCAGATACAGTGAATGATCTGTAAAAGCCCTACATTAGTACCTTTCATTAAATAAGAGGTTACTAAAAATAATCTCCAAGCAAAAAAGGCAGAAAAAAAATTTTGAAAGCTCTTTTAGGTATAAAATCATTGCACAGCACAAGTTGCATGACATTTTTAGCAATAAAGGCAGTGTCAGGGGTTAATTTCATGGACTGTAAGCACTGCAAGCCATGCTGCTTTAAAATACCTACAGAACTATTTCAGGTACAAAGAAGTATGAGCAAGTTTTCTTTTCTTAATTTTTTACCACTCAACTCTTGCTACCACTGGTCTCATACAGAATCCAGTCTCTAAAGCAGATCATGCAACAAAAGACCAGATCTGCTTCAGAGCCATTAATAATCCCAGAGGGGAGGAGGAAACTAAATAAAGAAAAAATGATGTGACCTTTTTATTTAAAGCTCTGAACAAAGAGAAGGATGATGATATCAGGACACCAATGGACAGCCTCCAAACTCCGGATTTTTCATGTGTCATAGTCTATTGTTTTGGTGACTTTCCAACTCTGAGGGATGAAATTTCACACTACTGCTAAAGCAATGATGTAAGTATGGCTTCCAAATCACAGAATATTTAACACCACACAAGAATTAAAACTACTACAATGGTGACTTTGTGAGCAAGAGATGATCTCCCTAAGTACCAACAGCTCTTGCACACTGTCTCTCAACCTACTCTGTATCATTGAGACATTACCTTTTCTAACAATGAATACCCCTGCTATGGAAAGGATATAACAAGAAAATGCCTGTTTATTGAGGAAGCCAAACACACTCCTCTTCAGGGATATCAAGGTGGGATGGAACATGCAACTCTCAGAGCCCATAGTGGAGCACCAAAGTTCTCCATCACCATCCTGATGTTATAAAAGCTCACGGATCCTGCCAGTGTATTGACTTATTTCCTTCATTCCACCACTCCCGTTTTCCAGATGGGGCTCTGTCTTCATCCACTGAAGAATCAACAGCAAAACTGGCTCCAGCCTGTTTCTTAACACTCAGTCAAATTAGTAGAACCATTTCCTTCAAGTTTCCTTGTAACCAATCAATGGCTTAACAGAGGTTAGAAGGCCGATGAGAACCTGATCACAGCAAGGATTCAAAGAACACCTCTCCCCTACCCAAGTCCCACTCTCCCCTCAATTCATTAAGATACAGAATTAAAAGCTTATCAGCCCAGTACCTCCACAAACCTTGCTCTGACTCTTTCATCTCTGTTGACAAAACCAAACAAATCCATAATATCATTCCTTAAGAAACTGAAGGCTGAAGTTGCAAAAACAGTGCTCGGAAAACTTGAGATCAATTCCCCTGATCAATATTAGGCTTCTACAACTAAAACAACAGGCATCTTAAGGTCCTTCCACACTTGGCTAATGAAATAAATGGGCATTTTCAAGTAATATTCAGATTAAAAGTATAAAAAACACCTATGATTTTCTTTTCAGTACAGCACATTTATTGCATAAACTACCCAGTTTAATACTTCAATTTAGATATATAAAGTGAGAATACTAAACTCCCAAAATTTTACAAAGTTTTGAGTTTTACATGCAATGGGGAGGGAAGAGGAAAGAGAAGCACAACATGATTCGTGGTAAGATAACACACAAACTGATCTCTATTTTTGACAGATATAGCTTACTAATATAGGGTATCAGTCATGTACTACATAATGAAAACAACATCACAACCTGTAAAGTAAAAATATAGGTTTGAAAAAATCAGATGTTGTAGCCATTTTTCCTTATTTGTGTACTAGGAGAAGGGGATCTACAATAATCTTATGGCAGGAGCAGTTAAAACTTTTTAAAGCAATACCAGAAAGCAAATTGATTCTCCACACACCCCCTGGTGCTGCAGAGTGAAGAACCAGCAGCGGAAAAAGGATGGAAAACCAATAAGCACATAAAAGTGAACTGATCTTGCAACTTCCACACCCCTTCTCCCAGCAAACTCACTTTGAATTCCCAAGAGGAGGGGCAGAAGAGGGGGAAATTTTAACCCCTGGCTGTTTGCAAAGTGCTTTTTGTTTGCTTTGCCACGAGAATTTTATTGTCAGAGTCAGGGTGGATCCCTCCACTCAAGGTCTGCTCACAGTCTGCCTTGTCTTGGCAGGCAAAGTGGTGCCGAATGTGAAAGTAGGTCAAAATTTCTCACCATGAGCCTTCTTGGCAGCAGTTCTTTGATCATGAAGGTGTTGTAAATACTTAGCAGCAGAATTCAAACAAGGTAGAGCTACCAGTGACAAATGAAGGTGACATTACATTAGAAGCCTGTTCAGAGGGCTCAGCTCAAGCAAGAAGAAGAGGCATTTCTCCCCAGATGCCTTCAGTGCTCTGCACAGCTCTACATGAGGCTGAACAGTCTCTGCTGCTTGTGATATGCCAAATTTTAATAGGTAAAATCCTTAAAATCCATTTCTGTCCCATCTCAAACCAAAATTAAACAGTCTCCATTTCAGAGTCGAGTTCTCAGAATATTACCAGTTCCATATTATAGTAATAAAATGAGTAATTTTAAAATCAGTAGCTCATTACTTAAATAGGGCATGCACTACTTTGACTTTGGGCTCTGTGAGACCAAGATTCATTGTATACAAAGTTAAATGCAAAAGACATCCTACCAAGTGCAGAATATTTTTGCATGAAGCACAATCATAAAAACTTGAGGTCAAAAAACCCCAATCAATCTAAATATTTGTTTCATCCAAACAGTAAATACTAGAAAATATACTTGTTCGTCAGTTCATGTAGTTTCTTTAACAATTTAAGAATCGTGCAGAGCTGTTACTATTTCCATAATTTTACAGTCTTGCCAATGGAGAAAGGGAAATACAGAGATTTACCCATGGTCAGACACGAGTTTTGAACTCAGCACTGTTACATTCAACATAACAACCATCGTTTGTGTAGGCTTTTCAAAACAGCAAGGATTTCTGCTGACAGCCCATTAGGATGATATTTGAGGAAGGAAGTAGAAACGTCAGGTCCTTCATAAAAATCTGCATGAAGAAAATAAAGGTTGAAGCACAGGTTCCTGATGGAGGCAAACCCATGAAACCCAGCTTCCCTTTTCTCATCTACAATAACTACACCCTCTCCTAAAGCATGACTTATTCCACAAGTTAAAATACTAAATTACAGAGATGGAAACTACCAGGACTACAGGATGTATTTAGGTAAGTTTGTATCAAGTATATCATTGCTGATTTCAATCTGAAAAACAGCACGTAGAGTACACTCCACTGAAAATTATCATAATTATCTGGAAACAAAGTGGCTATTTGGGATATTGTCAATCTCTCCCTAAGGCAGAGAAAAAATGAATTTAAACAGGAATTATTTTCCTGATTCTCGGCAATCATGTATCTCCTAGAAACATAATCTAAGTGGAACCTTTTCAGCTTCAACAAACTGGACCTCAGCCTTCCAAGCCAGGAGTTATTTGACAGTTCGCAAAAGAAAGTCAAATAATCAGAGCTACAACTGAGTGAATAGCCGCCTCAGCCCACAGCCCCTTCAGTCACATGGCCTGCTCTACCTCAAATGAGAAGTTACTCTCTCCAAGATCACTTCTTTCAGTTGGCCAAGTAAATCTAAATCTCTTCATTAGCTCATTTTCATGCCCTCTCCTCAGCACTCTTGCAATTGCAATCTTTTTGAAAGATCTGCTGAATTCGCAGTTACATCTTAGAACAATCAAATACCCTGCCCGGTGTGATAAAATGATATCTAAATCATTCCACAAATTTATATGCAGTGTCTAAATGCAGTCACACTAATTCCTTTCAGGCTAAGACAGCCACTTTATGGTGGTTATGTTCAAATCCATAAAAGGGAATTTGGGAAATCTGTTCAAGATGAAGAGCTCTTTTCTGCATGTTCTGACAGTCAATCCGTGTTAAAGGCACATCAAAAAATTCTCTCCAAGTATTTCCCTTTTTTTTTTTTTGCAAGTTATGTGACCTGGCACCGTATAAAATAGAAATCATGTCTACAGAGTATCTTACTTTAAGATATAGCAAACTTCCAGTGGGAAA